AAAGAGGTGTTGTGTCATTCTGAAATGCTAAGATCTAACTGGTTCAGAAAAAGACACTGATTACTGAGGGAGAAAAACGCCTCTGATTGTTCTGCAGGTACGAGATGTTTTTACCTTTGCACGAATTGTGGAAGCAGTATATCCGGGACCTTTGCAACGGACTCAAGCCAGAAGCGTAAGTTTAGTTGCCTTGATTTGTCTGATTGATTGCTAGTAATGAAAAGGGGGTCTTCCTCGTCATGTCAGGATCACTCCCAAACCCAAATGGCATTGGTCTTCCAGAACTGTACCACTGCAGAGAAAAGTATGTGTGTTTCCCCATGTCAGTGAATAGCCAGTGCTTTAGGAAGAACGGTTTCCCGTAGGTGGAAGATATCCAGCACATACAAAACCCTCCCTTTTGTCCCACAATTGGGCCCTATATAAATTTATAGTTGAAATGACTGTCTGAAGAAGAGGAAGCCCTACGCAGTCGACTTACTGCCAATGCCTAGAGTGACCGTCTTCAGAACCTTCTGGTCTCTCCTCCAGGTTTTCTTGTCTTTTTTGTTTGTTTTTAAATATGAAGCGACAGAATGAGCTGGTGTTCCTTGCCTACATTTTGAAGTGGGTGTGGTGTAGGAAAGCCAAGGTCTTTCAGCCCAACAGCCCCTCTCGTTTAGCTAATGCAGAGCTAGCAAGCCATGAAGTAATGACAAGTGGCACATGCTTTGATGGGATTCTCTAGGAGGCCAAAGTGAATAGGGTGCAGCTGTGGTTCTGGGAGGCAGTTATGGTTTGTTTCCGTTTTATCAAATGCACACAGTGTCTTCCAACTGGAGCAAACGTTTCTAAGTGATTCATAATTTTAAAAAATGAAAACTGCATTTATGCAGGAAGTCCAAAACTACATTAAAGCTCAGGCACGAGAACGGTAAGATAAGCCAGAAATGTGTAAAATCCAAATTACAGCGAGAACGTCCAAATGCCTGATGAAAAGGGACGACAGTTGCTAGGTTTGTCAAGTGCCTGAAAATCAGCAGAGAGAGGGGCAGCATCATAAGAGAAATTAAAAAAAAAAATGCAACCTGGAAGGTCTTGCCTGAAGTGGCAAAACGTAGCTCTAGGAATGGCTGGAAGAAATCTATGGTTTTACCGTAGATATCCTTGTGGTTCCTAAAGCTACCTGGAAGTGATGACGGGTGGCTCTAGGAATCACCAGAACCTCTGTGGTAAAACTGGAAAACCTCAGAGTTTCTGGTGATGCCGACCTTTGTCATTTCTGAGAAGCTCTAGGAATCACCAGGAAGCCCTTAGTAAGAACTTCTTGTAAGTAGAAAAGGTCTAATTTTTCTTTTTACTTTTTCTCCTGCTGCCTTTGGAAGCACTGGTGGATGATGGGACCTGGGGGCTTGGCAATCCTACTGCCGTGGAAAGCAGGACTAATCACAAAATGGCCTCCTCGGGGACAGCGCTGCATTGTTTAAAAAATGTTCTCCTACCATTACTCCAAGCAGCATCAGGCAACACGGCCTCCTAGGCGGGGACACCCCCATCCCCATCAGGGGGTTACCAGCTCTAAAGGGGACATTTTTGACTTTTCTATGAAATACAATTAGTGAGGGGGGATAGATAACCATCGGACAAAAAAACCTCATGTTGGCTGGTGCAGTAGCCGTACCAGAGCTTTAAAATAATACTTTAACGTAAATCCATTAAATCCTGGGCAAATGTTAGATTTTAATATTATTTCTTTTTTTAAAAAACTAGACGGCCACAGATGATTCAAGCCAAACTGCTAAAAGCTGATCTGCACGGTGCCCTTGTTACAGGTATTCTTGGTCCGTTCTTATGCACGGTCACATAGGCATTAAGTCTACCATGGTGGTTTTTATTTGTGTGTGTGTGTGTGTATACTCGCATACATAAAGGCTTGTACTTAAAGATTGTACTCATATGCTAATAGCTGAGGCTTCCAAAGGAACCAAATTCTACATTCTGTTCCATATTATCATGCAAAATATATATTTTTAATTGCCGTCAATCTGTGCCATTTCTACCGATCAGATGCTTCCTTAGCATAAAATCAAAGGAAAAGATTACTCCAATGGATCAGAGGGTGACACTTAGGGTGAATTCCTGGCCTCCGGCATTTCAAGAACATAAGAGGTGCCCCGCTGGATCAGACCAGTAGCCCACCTAGTCCAGTATCCTTTTTCACACAGTGGCCAACCACTCATCCCAGAGGACCTAGCAAACGGGGCACAGAGGCCAAGGCCTTCCCCTGATGTTTCTTCCTGACACTGGGATTCAGTGGTTTGCTACCTTTGGATGAGGAAGTTCCCTTTGGTTACCGTGTCTCCTGGCCATTGATGGACCTCTCCTCCCTGAATCTCTCTAATCGCTTTTTAAAGCCGTCTATAGATTCTTTTGAACTATGGTGCTGGAGAAGACACTTGAGAGTCCCTTGGACTGCAAGGAGATCAAATCAGTCAATCCTAAAAGAAATCAACCCTGACTGTTCCCTGGAAGGCCAGATAATGAAACTGAAGCTCAAATACTTTGGCCACCCAATGAGAAGGGAGCCCTCACTGGAGAAGACCCTGATGCTGGGAAAGATTGAAGGTCAAAGAAGATGGGGACGGCAAAGGATGAGATGGTTAGACAGTGTCATAGATGCAACGAACATGAAATTGAGCCAACTTCAGAGGACAGCGGAAGACCGGAAGGCCTGGCGTGATCTGGTCCATGGGGTTGCGAAGAGTCGGACTTGACTGTGCGACTGAACAACAACAACATGCTCTTGGGACATTAAGTCCTAACATAAACACATGCCCTGTTGTGGTGCCTGATAACTGGCACAGTTGTTTTCCCCACAGTTTTTTCACAAAACAGCCTTTGATAAGAGGGTCATAAGTTCACTTTTAAAAGACCATATGGTGGCATTGAAGGGGCAGCAGCGGGTCAGAGGTCAAGACGCTGAGCTGCAGACCAGAAGGTCTATAGTTCGGCAGTTCGAGACCCTAGTGGCGTGTGACTGAGTGGGCTCCCAACTCTGGCCCCAGCTTCTGCCATCCTAGCAGTTCGAAAGCAAGAGATTGCAAGTAGATAAATAGGTACCGCTTCGTTGGGAAGGTAACAGCTTTCAGTGCGCCTTGGCATTTAGTCACGCCGGCCACATGACCACGGAAACATCTTCGGACAGTGCTGACTCTTCGGCTTGGAAACGGAGATGAGCACTGACCCCTAGGGTCAGATTCAACTAGCTCTTGAGCAAGGGAAACCTTTACCTTTACTATGGCGGCATTATGTACAGATTAGGTTTCAAATCTGGATATTTTTAAAAGAGAGTTGTAGCTGAAACTTCTTTTTAAAACAAATGAACATAATTCCCTTTTCAGTAATTTTTCTCAATTGATTTTTCTCCCCCTCCCCAACCTTGCTCTGTGGCTGTGATTGGCTCACTTTATCCGATGTCAAGCAGCCAGCCTGGGCCTCCTAGAATTAGGCAGCCCAGTGCTAAAAAGGGCTTGGGGGTGGGGGGGAACAAGCTGTTCCGAGTTCAATTAGAAAAGTTTGGCGAAAACCATATAAATAGGGTTACCAAGTACCTACCGCAAATCGGCGGGGGACACATAGTTCTTGGCGGCAACATTCCTGCGGGGAAAACACACAGGCTGCACTATATTGTCACCCAGACGTGACATAGGCACGTAGCCGGACGACGCTC